ATGTTCATCGAATTTTGAATCAACATTATAAACATCCTCCTCGTCCCTGTAATTCCATCTGCATTGATGATAAGCTATAGCAAACATCTGGGGCATTGAGGATGTTCCTGTCACACTACTATACTGCCTAACCACGTCTTTAGGCCCTGGACCTATAAAAAAGAACGCATCCATAACACCAGCCTCACTCATCCAAAAGGTATCAATCCTTTCCTTGTCCGATGGAAGAACAAGGTTTGAAGATTCATTTGAATTCCAACCAGAGCTCAATACATCAATCTGCATCTCAGCTGCATTAAGCCAGAAGAATCCTGAACTTCCTCGAGCTTTCCCGTGTGAAATCATGAAGGGGATCGATCCATAAAGTCCAAATGGAGAGTCTGGGATGAACTCGAATACATCCAGATTGAAGAGCCTGTATGGTTCGGAGGACTCATCTACTTCAGGACCTCTGGTGGGCTTCAGAGCAAGACTTGTAGCGTGCTCAGGAATGCCATAAACATGATCTGCTCCATAAAATGAAACATCGAAACTGATGGATTGAGGTCCATGCGGTCTTGAATCAGTGTGGCTTCGAAACCTTTCCTCCCATTCTTCCCCTTCCTGCTTCTTCCTCAGTTGCTCGAAATCAAACAATCCGTTTGAGTTTATGGAAAGTACTCTCTTCCCACTACCCTTCTCTCTTACAAAAACCTCGAAAGGATCGTGCCTAAGCACCCCCTCATACCCATCGGACAAGTAAACCACAGATGAAATAGCTGAATCTCCGTTAATCCTCTCCTCCTTGATTCTCTGTAACCAAAGCCTTTTGCTCGGAAAATCATCCACTATAACGTCTGGAACTTCGAATCTATTCTTAGGCGGGTCCAAAGTTGGGTCCTCGTTGATCTTCAACCTCATTATACCATCTTGATACGCTGAGATGGACAGAACTAGCGGCTTGACTGGATCTTCGTTCTCCGAGCTCGCTTCTTTCGGAATGAGCTTGGCGACGAGATTTCCATCGGAAATGAAGACATCTGATGCGCGTAGATTACAGGTTCCAGGCATGCGCGAACGGGCGCGTTTACAGAAGGGGGTCTGATTGCAATTCCGGAATTCTTCTTTCTTCCATGAGAAGGCGGGAACTGCCAGAAGGATGAGAAGAAGGATCTGTAAAAGAAGACGTGGACGCTTCATGGCGTGAACGGCGACCGTCACCGGCGGCGATTAAGAGCCAGTGTGCACTACTGCAGTGGTTCGTCACAGTCAGCGGAGGAGCCCGGATTTGATGATTTTGATTTCTAATTGGTGTCTGGATTTCATCCTGTTCTTTTTAGCATGATTTAAGACAATTAAATTGCAGGTTAATATGTTTAGGGAAAATATTCAAGGAGATTTAAATATTAAAATTTTAGGTCTCAGTTGAGGGGCTTCATGACGAATTTTTTGATGAAATTTTGTAAAAATGCTCTTCCTGAAATGTATATTATGCCTACTAAATTTCAAATTAAAATTTAGTCGTGGAGTCACTTATTTCCTTTTTAAAATTGTGCAGTTTTTATACATAAAACATGCATTTTTGTCAATGATTTAGTTAGCTGACTTCCCGATTGAATTTTAAGTTGAAATTGGGTGGACATAACCTACACTTCGTGGAGAATATGATCACAAAATTTCATTAAGTTTTAGACATGCCTTAGAAGAACACCCCCAAGTTTAGGAAGTCCTTATGGGCACGTTTTAAACTTTAAGTATCAATAATTCTCGGTGTACTCAAATTTTAAACACATTGGCACACAGTTGTATGATACCTAGCTAGCTCGTGCATACAACTTCTGCACGAGCTAGCTATGTACACGTGCAATTAGGAGATGTACATGTTGTCTGTTTGCACACAGAAAATTACATACAAAATGTATATCAACCAAAATGATTTTTTCTTTTCCAAGGACTAAATTTTGTTAAACCCCTAGGAGGTCTACCTCTTATAGTGAGAGTGGCAATATGACCTTCAACCATTATGATGACCATACAACATCTCTAGCTCGAGAAGGGGTAACGTTTTGTGAACAAAGGAACCATTCACATTTATCATCATTGTTTGAATCTCTCATAAATACCGCTTCCAATTCTACAAGTCTCACACAAGGCAATGACCCTAATGACCCTGGCACTAAAGTGAAATAGTCAATGGTTGAAACATCCTAATTTTTATTTTGATGGAGTTTAATTTACGAGAGCATATAAAATTTAGGCAGCGTAAGACAGTATTATTATTCCCAGAGTGCGGATCCCTTTTAGGGTGTGTACATGAAATATTTATAGACCTTGGGTTATAGTATTCCAAGAGGAAACTAATAAATTTAATCATAACAAGAGTCATGTAACGCCTCGAACGTGGTGTAATCATTGTTCCTCTAGGTCTACGTTTCTTTCGTCATTCCTTGCCGCTGCCAGATAGCTATGCTCAAATGATAGCCTGCCACATAAGACCTAGGATGAGTTAGACCTCGCTAGAATCTCGTCCAAGCTCGAGGTCTGCTGTCCAAATTGGCTTGGTTGTGGGTTCCTTTCGCGGTTCGAATTCCTAATTAGGCCCAACAGCTATTATTAGTCATTAATCCTAATTAGTGAGTTGTCCCGTTGGTGTGCTTCATTTTAACCTTGGGTCATGGCTATGATCCATGGTACCATCACGAGCCTCCTACTCTCTAACATAAGTCGAGCTTGATTTTACGAGAGTATCGAGGTTTGAGTTTTGAATTCCCCTTTTGGTCAGTGGCGTCATTTTGCATTAAATGCCACTGGCATTTGTCTGATTTCACGAATCTCTATTTCGGCTTCCCGTCTTCAGCACTTGAGTGCCTTGGTAGCGGTTCCAAATCACTTCGAAGGGCGTTGGGGTCCCAACTATAAAAGGTACACTTTTTCATTCATGCAAACCTTCTATTCCTTTGAGAGTGTGCATTCCACAAACCCTAGATAAGAAAAGCTCCCTCCATCGTCCCAACCTTTCTTCCCAGGTCGGTGTATTCATGTCTTCTTCCAATTCTGTTCCCCTTCATATCATTTTCCCTGACGACGGGGCCAGTCCAAACCGACCCAAAATTCCGGTGGACTCTCGAGGGGTAAACACTCACTTCTATCTTTCCGCTAATTTTGCCCGCGAGGTACCGGCCGCCGCCATTTCCGACTCCGAATTTAATGAGACGGTGGCCCTTGCCGGGCCTAGTGTCATCGGTACTCACCCTACTCCGGGGAAGAACATCGTCAAGCCCCCCTCTCCCCTTCATTTTGGGGCTCACCTTGCTTGCCTTGAAATAGGCCTTCGTTTTTTCCTCCACCCCGCATTTCTGAATATCCTGCACCATTACAAGGTTATTCCCGGTCAGCTTACCCTATCACCCATTTATTCATAGTTGGGTGCATAGCCCGATGTGGCGATGTCTCTCCCTCCAGATTAGGCATGATTTCCATCTACGTGCACTTCGAAAGAACTAGGCATTGAGCATCTGCCAAATCAAATCAATTACAATTTCTAACCTAGACTGGAGTTTGGTGGGCGAAGCTTTTAATGTAGGGGTGTCCTCAACTTAGATTTTAAAATATTTTTAAGGATTATGGATTTCATAGGATTTTAATGGAATTTAAAGAATCCATAGATTTTAATAGAATTCCATGGATTTTAAGAGAATAGAATTTCATGGTTTTAAATGGAATGTTGTAGAATTTTATTGTAATATACATAATTAATAAAATGCAAGATTAATCGGTTCATATTGGCAATTGCAAAACACAGAGGCATATACTCATAAAGTGCAGAAAACAACTAATAAAATCAATAGCAATAATATAAGAAAGTATAATCACGAGATAACTCCTCGGAAGTTTGATCTCCACTTCTGCAATTGCTCACCAGCTACAACGAAATTCCAGCCCTACAAAAACTTTGAACTTTGATAAAAAAAAACTAATAAAATATCCGAATGCTAGTGGTGTATTTCGAACCTAAAAAATGTTGCAATATCTGACGTTTTTAAGCTCTGTAGCCCTCAGGTAGTTTGGTCCGAGACAGTAAAAGAAGAAAACCCATGTTCCGCCGGCCCTAGCACAGCTTCGTCGGCCCTGAGAAAGAGGAAGGTTTGAAGAGGTAGAAGATAATTTGTTGGGGAGTGGGGAAGAAGAGTTTGGGAGAGGCTTATTAACCGGTAGCAACAATCCTTTCAAATCCGAGGGGTGAGGGGGAGAGAATACGTGGAATGGATTGGCCTTATTTTTCCATTTCAATTCCATTAAAATCAGCTGAAATCCATATGATAGAAATCCATGGAATAATTGGGGACACCCAGATTTTAAAGGATTTTATAAAATCCACGTTGAGGACACCCGGATTCTAGTGGAATTTAGAATTCCTTTAAAATCCTTTCAAATCTAGATTTAGGAAACCCCCGTTAGTTCTTATCCTCATTGTTATTATTACTACCATACTAACTCATTGTAAAGATCCCTCTCCAATTTTCCTTTCTGGTAAATGGTGCTCGTATTGCTCTTCCTTTTTATATTTACTGCTTGATTGCTTTCTCGCAGTTATTCAAATCTAGATTGGGGACACCCCCGGTAGACTGCAGTTTGGCAGCAAGTACAATTCTGGATCTAATACTCTTTATTTTTTTTACAAAAGAAGAAACAATTATAGATAGTATTACGTTGGGTAACTGTGCAACGAGCAGAACCAAAAAAAGGTTTGCGGCCATAGCTCAAGACAATACAAAGTTCTCCTTAAGTATATTTAAAAAAACTAGAGTTCCCATCAAATATGTAAAGCATAACAAAGGCAAGGCAAGGAGAAGACCACTGAACGGTACATATGCCAGACAAAAAAAAGGATGCACTCGATATGAAGTTGTAAAGAGTTTGCGCGTAATTTAAAAATAGATTACATAGATTGTCAAAAATGTAATTTTATTTTACATGCAAACTAATTACAACCATGTACTTTACATACAATTATTTCACATGTAAAACTTTAATGTGTGAACTAGCACACGGGCTCCTACATTGAAACACATTACACATGCTTTGAATAAGGGTTGAGACACTAGTTACATTATTCAAGTAGTGAGCACAAGTCATATTCATCTCTTGTCGAAGAATACTACTCCCTCCGTTCCATAAAACTTGACCAAATTTCCTTTTTGGATCATCCCAAAAAAAATATCATTTCCATTTAAAGTAAAAAATATGTGGATAAATTTTTTCTTTTCTCCTCTGCACAAATCTCAATCACACATATTTTACTTTATTATTCTACATGCAATTCAACTTTGGTCCAGAACGTGACAATAGAAGACATGCTTGCTTTACCATGAATTAATTGGATCAAATACACAATCGATATTTAGGCACAACCATCAAGTGATTGGCACGAGTTGCCACAAGACCAAACTCCTCGGTCATGTCTAATTCTTCCGGTGACATACTCTTTGGAAGTTCCCAATCAAAGCAATGCACTAATTGTGCTATCACTAACCTGACCGTAGTGATTCCAAGTTGTAAGCCAGGACACATTCTTCTTCCTGAACCAAAAGGAATGAGTTCATAATGATGTCCTTTGTAGTCTATATTGAGACCTTCAAATCTCTCTGGGATGAATTTCTCAGGATCAGCCCATACATTTGGGTCATGCCCAATCGCCCAAACATTCACAATGATCCGTGCTCCTTTTGGTATGTGAAAACCATCAACCACGCAGTCTTCCCTTGACTCATGAGGCAGAAGAAGTGGTGCTACGGGATGGAGTCTAAGGGATTCTTTGATGACCATTTCTAAGTATTTCAACTTTTCTAAATCTGATTCATCCACCATCCTATCTAGTCCAACATTGCTTTCTAGTTCTTGTTGGACTTTCTTCAGGACTTGCGGGTGTTTTATGATTTCACAAATCGTCCAGTCAATTACAGTCGCTGAAGTGTCCATAGATGTTATAAACATATCCTACACATACAAATATAGAATAACATATACCATAGTTTACAAATATAGTAGAGATAGAGGACATAAAATTTTGACACTCGATCATATATATGACATGATTTGGCACGTATAAAAGGAAACTTCATTGATTCCCTATTGATGTCAACAAAGATAGATAAGTAGGACTTCTGGAGTAATAATAATATACTCCCTTCGTCTCGTATTAAGTTCCCAATTTGACTTCACATATATTAAGAGAATAAATTTAGTGATGGGTAAATTTTACTGTAGAGTACAGTGCACTATTTTGACACTGTTTGACATTGTTCTGCACAATTTTGGCACTTTTGTGGTATAGATTTGTTTGCCAAATAAGAAAGTGTGGATTTGTTTGAGACATCCAAAAAAGGAAAGCGTGAACTTAAATACGAGACAGAGAGTAAAACATACGGAGTACATGATAATACCAAATCAAGTTAAAAATTCCAAAACTATATTATAAAAAATGTTATTGCTATATTATATTTCAAATATTAATATTAAATGTTATTACTTGCATTAATATGATGATAATAATGATTGTTATTTTAATTATAATAATAGTAATAATATTACAGAGTATTATTATTACTACTACTATTATATTTATTGTGCTTTACCTAAGGGTGTTTGCTAGCCCAAATGTACAAGGTTTCAAAATTTAAAAGGCTCAATTTTAAGAGGTTTTGAAAAATACTGAAATAAAATTTATTGATAAAAATATGACTAAATTTACTATACGTCATGGTCACTTTTTCGATTATGATAACATCATGGTCACTTAATTAAGTATAAAAAGTGAACACAAAAATATTCACTAAAGTTCCTAGTATAGTCACTACATTTAAGTTGTCACATTTTTATTCACATATTTTTATCCATAAAGATGCAATTATTTTATTTTAAAAACAAATTATTAGTTAAAGACATGTATGATGGATTCGTAATTGAAATAAGTATAAATATCAATTCGGTCCAAATAGCTACTATATTGATTGCTCAAATAGTCAAATCCTTCATGAATCACAAGATGACAAGAATCCTTAACGAAGAGAACGACTTGACCCGCGAATTATAAGGTTTAGCATGTTTTATATAATTGAAATTTTCTGGGATTGATTTCAATATCCAATTTGGGTCTGGTAGATATTCTACATGTATTTTACAATTGCCAAAATCTTATCTGGTTTGATCTAATTTGACCGAGTATGATCTGGTCTAATCTGTTTAACTAATTTAGTATGATGTTGTTTAATTTGAGATCGAAATCAGTCCAATTAAAAGCATCTTCATAGTCGCATCATAGCCTCTTCTCCGTGTTCGGTCTAGAGTTTTTTCTCCATTTTTTTAATTTTTATTTTTGAATAATTAGCTATTCTTCCTAGTGTTTGTAGATTTTTACTTTTGAATTTCATGCAAGTAAAAGTGCAAATTCAGATGTTAGGAAATAATTCCTCAATTAGTTGCATACTTGCAAATAAATACTTGATCAAACCTAATTTGTTAGTCCTCTCGTTGGTTTCTTCATATTGGTAGGTCCAACCTAACAAAAACATACTCCGTAATAGTTGTATTAAATTGCCAAATCAAGCCAAAAGTATATGATGTTTTCTAAACTTTATTATTGATATTAGTACAAGTACATATTTATAGAAAACTAGTTCTAACTTCTAAGGGAATAGATACCTAAAAAGATTCTGCTCAGTATCATAGGCGACTGTCTAGATGCCGAAAAGATAAATAAATACTCCGTATAACTGAATAGACAAGTATCAATTACAACATGAAGTCATGAACATCAGAACATGCACGAAAGACTTATTACATAGTACTACGTATTAGCCGTTTCCAAAACTATGACCAATAATATATATATTTATTGAATATCATTTACAACTATAATATAAAACTGATATGAAAAATGTTCTTTGTGAAAAGTACTTTCATAAAAGTATAAAATTTATAATTTTCATAATATTGTACTAATCAAAACCATGATCCAAATTTTGAGATTTGGCTAAACATATTGGGACGGAGTTAGTAAAAATAAGGAGAGTAAAAAACAATAAGGACAGTAATTCCTAGACTAATGATATCTCATACATTTCTCAACAGGTGCATCAACCCCCACCCAGAGCCGTCAAAATAAACGAGCCGAAACTCGTGGGCTGACCCGTTTAAACCCATTTATTGACGGATTAGAGTTGTGAATTTCAAACCCATTTAGTGCGGGCCGGGTTTAAGTGGGTTGGCCCAACGGGTTGTGGGTTGGCCCGCAAGCCAATATACTAACATATAGTTTTGCCTTTTATTATCTTCAATATCGTTCTTTTAGTACCAAAAATATTATAATTACAATTAAAAAATTATAACAATTGCGAAATAATTATTATTTCTATAATAAATATTCAAATAAAATGTTGAAACATATATTTTATGTGAAGTTTGATACTCCGTACAATATTTAGCAATCACTAATCATGATTTACAAATAATCAATCAAAAGGTTTGAGTAGATCTTTACTTTATTCAATGAGTATTTTTTATACATACTCTCTAATAGTTTTCAAATTCTCGTATAACTAGTATTTAATATTTTTTTAATTAAACTTAACAAGTATTGAGTTCTTAGTATTTGATTTCTTATATTTCCCTTATTACTATTTTTACTAATATAAATATATACTCCAGGGAATTATTTGTAAAGAATCTTTTGTCTTATTTTTACTTTCAATCACATACATGAAATGATTTGGCGCGTATAAAAGGAAACTTCATTCATTTCCCAGTAAAACTTAACATGCATGTGCGATATTTTCCTAGATTGTCCAAGTTTGACGTCAACAAAGATATATAAGCAGGACTTAGGGAGTAATAATACTATAAAATACACATGATAATACCAAATCAAGTTTAAACACTCCAAAACTATATCATAAACTATGTTATTAGTCATATGTTTCAAATATTAATACTCTGTATTAAATATTATTTCTTGCATTTATATGATAAGAATGATTGAATTATTAATTATAATAATAGTAATAATATTACGGAGTATTATTATTGCTACTACTATTATATATATTGTGCGTTACCTAAGGGTCTTTCCTAGCCCAAATGTATAAGGCTTATAAATTTAAAAACGCTCAATTTTAATTAAGAGGTTTTCTAAAAAATAATGAAATAAAATTTATTAATAAAAATATGACTAAATGTACTATCATTATAACGCCATGCTCACTTGAGGGTAAAAATAATGACTAAAAGTTACTACTATAGTCACTACACTTAAGTTGACACATTTTATCCACCACATTTTCTAGTCATAAATATGTTATTATTTCATTTTTAAAACAAATTATTACTTATAGACATGTATGATATAAATGGGAAAGGGTACAAATATACCCTTGTAGTATGAGTGTGAGAATAAATATATCACTGTTCCATTTTATGGAACAAATATAGCTCTGAAGTATAAGTAGGAATGCATATATACCCCTGAACTTTTAAAATTTGCAAAATACCTCTCATGTTCTATAAAGGAGCAAATTTATCCACTTTAAATAAATAACATAAATTTAAAAAAAAAAACCACCAAAAATAAATTCTAAATTCGAAATTGAAAAGTAACAAAAATTAAAAATCTACTTGTTTCCAATTCTCCCTTTTTGTATTTATTTCACAATTTAATATCGTTAGTATTAAATATTGTTTCAAAACCTTACTAAGCATTTTAAGAGTCTTTGTGAAAAGCGTTAACATATGTGTTGCAATGTAAAAAAAATCATTAATTTTTTGTATTCTTTGAATTGTATAATTACATATTTTGTGCAATGATAAATTGTCCAAAAATACAAAATAGTGAATTTAATTTTACTAAGGTTAAACAAAATCAAAGAATGTTATTTCAAAAAATGCAACAATGTGTTCAAAACTTCACAAGAATACTAAAATTAATATTAATGAATTTGAATTGTGTTATTTAAAACGGAAAAATAATAATTTTTTAATTTAAATTTGAAGAGTTAACATTTTAATTTTTAACATAAACATAAATTTTTATTTTTAATTCATTAATTTTTTATTTTTTCAATCTCAAATTTATAATTTATTTATTTTATTTTTTAAAAATTTATTTTATTAATTTAAAGTAAATAAGGGTAAATGTGCTCCTTTGTAGAAACATTAGGGGTATTTTTATACTTTTTCGTAATTCGAGTGTATATCGACAATTCTACATATACTTCGGGGGTATATTTGTTTAAAAAATAGAACAAGAGTATATTTGTTCTCACACTTATACTATGTGGACATATTCATACATTTTCTCATTGGAAATTGAAATAGTTTTGGGAAAAGTAGCAAATCAGTCCTCGAACTAAAATCAAAAGTGCAAATCACCCCTTATATAAGAGGCTCTGTCCTGCGGTCGCAATTTAGGGCGGTTCCCGGGTAAATGTTTTGATAAAATATTTTGAGCATCTTCTTCATTCAATCTAGTTTACTCATATCAAATCGGAGCTAAAAAGTTAATCGGGAAGGCAGTCAAATGAATTTTTGAAGATAATTGAGCAGTTAAATGACGCTTTTTATTTCAGAAAATCGTTTCACTGCCTTCCCGATTGAATTTTTAGCTGAAATTTGGTTTGTGTAAACTAGATTCATCAAAAAAAATCCACCGGGCACCACCCCAAATGGCGATGGACGGACAGAGCCACCTATATAAGGGGTGATTTGCACTTTTGATGTTAGTTTGAGGGCTGATTTGGTACTTTTCCCAATAGTTTTTTGGGAAAATGGAAACTAATAATCCAACCTTTTAGCGGTCTTCTTTCAATAATTCCACCTTTTGATTATTCATGAATAATCCAACCTTTGTACCTCATCTTCATTCACTGGTCCCTGGTCGGTTAATGACCTACTATTCCAAGTTATTTTCTTATATTTGCAAAATATTATCTTTGTGAAAGATGAGA